ACATACTTGGAAACAAAAGTGAGACATTGGTGGAAAGTGAAAATGGAAAACTTTCCAGATGCCAGGTGGAAAATGATATTAAAGCTGTCAAAATAAGTCACAACAAAGACTGGGTTTTCTCCTAGACTAACAGGAGTCATGTTCTGGAGAAGAATGGAGATTTCAACTACAAGGCAGAGTGTCATAAATGAAACAATTATGAGCACTGGAGGTTAAATTTGAACCTATTTGTTTTGGGGTTTTATGCTTTGGTCTCTTTATTTTTCCTTTTTCTCTTTCAAGTACACTGCAGCATTCCTGATTTACTCTACAGTTTGTGGACAGGTCAAAAATGTGTAAATAAATCCCACTGTCGTTGCTTCACATAGTTATCTACTCTGGGCCTAATTCCAAGCCCTGTTAAATTGATGGCAATCCTTCCACTGGCATAGGAGGAGTGCAGTTTAGAACCTGTGATGGAAGTGCAAAGCATCACCAGAGAGGATGGATAAACAGCCTCTGCAGTCATCCAAAGTGAGTTTCTGAAACACAGTAAGGGAAGCAAACCTTGAACTACATTCAAGGTCAAATATGCTTTATGTATATGGTAATAGAGCTTTTAAAAAAGTCAGCTCCACCTAACACACATTAAACATCTTAAATATTATAAAAGACATTATTCAGTTTTAAGACTGACAATCTGAGCAGATAACCCAGTATTTTACTTTAAAAAATCAGCTGCACTGTTTATACTTGGGTGGAAAACCACAGATCAGAACAAAGTTTGCTGTGTTTCCTTAGTGCAGCCAAGGAAATTTACTCTGCTGATTGAGGATTTTACTTGTCCATGTATTCACTTTCATGCACTGGTACATTCTTATCAGTAATTTATCTGCAATTTTGTGGCTGAATTTTGTTTCTTTATGTAATGTTACTTTAGCACAAGAAAATGTGCCTACATTAAATTCCTTTTGCTCCTTATGAAATACCCCTAACAAACAATAATTCATTGTGAACGCTTACCCCCCAAAGTATAATTATGACTTAAAATATAAAATACATCTCTATTCTTTCGTGATAGACTTTTCATGCAGGATGTTGATGTGTTAGATAGAATCAGACTCCCAGAGGAGTGGGTAGAAGCTTGATTGCAGCTGGAGATAGAGAATGCAGCAGCAGCAGTAACTGGAGACTGTTCACACAACACACCATAATGGCCATTATGGAGCTGTTAACATCTAGTGTGTCAAAACCTACTCAGAAACTGGCTGAATTCACAGATTGCTGATCCAAGTGGTTCCTTTAAATTCAGCAAAAAAAATGAACTGAAGGGCTATTCTGCATTTGAGCTATAAATCCTTGGAAATATCGGTTAATAATGGAAATAATGACAGACCTTTACTGTAGCTGCATGGATGGTGCTGGTATTAATAATGCAGAAGTGCAAGGCAGGACAGCTCTTAGAAGTTGCTGTCTGCTGAAGTGCAGAAAACCTCATTAAAACAACCTAAAGGATGGTGTATTATTATAACTTTTTTCCTACAGTGCCCTTCAACTATCATAATATATGGAGCAACTTGAAAAGATCTAGAAATGTGTGAGAAGTAAAATCTCTGGCCACAGTTGCCAGCAGCCTAATTATGTGAATATACTGTGTACTCTGCATCCTGTTCTTTAGTTTTGAGAGCCTGTGGATTTGTGGATGATGAATAATGTGGTGTCTAACCAAAATATCAGCACTAAATTGCTGGAATAGATATTCAGCCTTAAATAATTGCTTTGGATTTGTGTTGAATCCAAGCAGTAGAATAGTTATGACTAAGCTGCAGTTGTTAAATGCAAACATGTTGTATTATTTTTGCATTTAAGGTTTTACAGAACTGTGGATAGGAGTGGTTGTTGTCAAGGGCGTTTATGGGATTTTCAGTTGATGTCTCTGAGGATGAGGTCTAATAACCCCACCTCATCGGAGGGTGCTGCTCAAAGGCCAGTGCTGTGGGCTGCTGTTTGTGCTACAGATATTTCACAAATGCCAGTTGTCCTGGGTTACTTCTACGGACAAGGAAAGCCACCACTTGGTTTGGGACTTTGATTAGTGTTTGGTAATTCAGCTTAACAGGATCCGGACCACGTTGCGCTGCAGTCCCTGTGCAATGTACTGTACCCTGCAATGCACAGAGCTAATATTTAGATGTAAAGCTCCAAATTTATCGTCTGCACTGGCATATAATAGAGCATTCAAAGTCAGTGGGTTTTATAAAATGTTTGATGGCTGGAAATTACTAGTCTAGAAGGGTACACAAGATTAAATGTTCAGTCACTCAAACTGTGCAAGTTTACCTCGAAGACATTTTCACAATGCCTTTGGAGAAAGAAGTATTTCAACTTATTCTCACTGAATAACCAATCCTGGCCTAAGGTACAGCGTAACGATGCTTATACATCGCTCCACTGCCTCTGCAAAGCCACTTGAGCCAGTTTTGTACAACACTTCTGCTGCGGCAGCATGAGGCGGCCCTTCAGCAGCACTCCAGCACCGGGCTCCCGGCTGGAGGCTTTCCATCGCAGAAACACAGCAAGTGCTTCAGATATTTCCCAAGTGGAGAAACCAATTGAGCTCAGCCCCGTGGTCTCCAGCAAAGTGGGAGCAGAAGGTTAAGGGCCTACAATTAAGGGCGAGAGAGCTTCATCTTTGCTAGCTCAGAAGGTGAGAAAACGGCAGCTGCTCTGACAGGACTTGCTGTGTGTGGGGATCCAGGAGCACCGGGCACCTGGAGCACTGGGAGGGAAACCTCTGCAGGTTCGGGCCTTTGTGTTTTGTAGGGAATTAACAGGTGAGAAGCAGCTGTTCTCTATAAACTACCCACGAGTGGGTTCCCAGACCAGATGCTGCTGAGGGAGCGGCCCAGGGAGGCAGAGGCGGCCATGCCGGGGTGCACGGCAGGCGCTGAGCCCCTTCCCTGCCGTCTCCCCTCGAGGGGTAGCCCGGGCCCCGGCCCAGCAGCCCGGAGGGAACCCAGCTCCCCGCGGGGGAACCGCCCGCAGCGGCCGAGAGGGGCCTGTGGCCGGGGGAACCCGGGCGAGGAGGGGGGCTGGGACTGGTCCTGAACGCCCGTGGTTTGCCTTCGTGTTTAACCTCGAACAGGATCGCTCCGTAGCGTGCGGGGCTTTGGGCTGCAGCGGAAAGGGTGGCGAGGCCGGGCTGACCCGAGCGCAGGAGAGGAGCGGCCCGGGGAGCGCAGTGCGGGCGGGACACGCGTCCGCCAGAGCGGCCCTGTGTCCGAGGAGGGTGAGGAACACCGAGCCTACAGCCGGTGTGTGTGAAGGGAGCCCACAGCGCCCTGATCTGTCTGAGGAGGGCGAGGAACACCGAGCCTACAGCCGGTGTGTGTGAAGGGAGCCCACAGCGCCCTGATCTCTGTCCCAGGAGGTGAAGAACACCGAGCCTACAGCCGGTGTGTGGGAAGGGAGCCCACAGAGCCCTGATCTCTGTCCCAGGAGGGAAGAACACCGAGCCTACAGCCGGTGTGTGTGAAGGGCTCCCGCAGGGCCCTGATCTGTCTGAGGAGGGCGAGGAACACCGAGCCTACAGCCGGTGTGTGGGGAGGGCTCCCGCAGGGCCCTGATCTGTCTGAGGAGGGCGAGGAACACCGAGCCTACAGCCGGTGTGTGGGGAGGGCTCCCGCAGGGCCCTGATCTGTCTGAGGAGGGCGAGGAACACCGAGCCTACAGCCGGTGTGTGTGAAGGGGGCCCACAGCGCCCTGCCCGGGCTGATCCAGGCCGTGGTGCCCCCGGGCATGGCCCTGACCCCGCGGGACGGCATCCGCGTGTTCCATGACTTGGAGCTGGCGCAGATCCATATAATGCAAGAAGAAGGGCAAGGAAAGAGTGCAGGAAGCAAGGCGACAGAGAAACCAGCAGACACGCTCCTGATGGAGGTACAAATTAGACATATGTTGTTCCCTGTTAGCTTCTGCTGTCACACCGATTTGGTTCTGGATTAAGCATTAATATTATTTATTGGGCTTAAGTATCCAGTCCCCTATACATCTTTTTACAATTTAATCTCATTTTAAAAAGGACAAACTAGAAGTTTAGACTTTCTGGATTCAGAGAATATTCTGAGTTGGAAGAGACCCAGATTATCAAGAAGATAGCGACATGATATTAACTGTTGAAATTCAGACAAATTTTTAATTTAGTTCATCAGTTTGCTACCATTTGTTTGGTAGCCTCCATCTCTTAAGCAGCATTACAGAATTGCTCTTTTTCTCCTTAATTCAATTAGTTCAATCCTTCAGTCATTGTTAAAGCTGCTTATGTAATACAGTCCCATTTGAAATGAATTTTATTAAAAAGGACATGCAACACTCCTGTGCTAGCTATTATAATTATTTTACAATTAAATACCACATTATTTTTTTCTTATAAAATTCATGCATCACTAGATAATTTCTGAGGTAGGTCATGTTGCCATATTTGAGTCTAGATAATGCAAGAAGTATCACAACCTGGTTAATTGGTATACAACAAAGAAGGCATTACAGTTAGCCTGCAGAAGTCCTAAATTTGTTAAAAAAACAGAACATACTTCTCATTTCCTTTTAAAAGTACTGAAATGAAATTTTAAATATTTTGTTTGAAGATATGTGTTTCTGTGTTCTCAGTGCTGCAATCTCAAAATGATGCTCTGAAATTTTATATAAAATTTTGAAGAGGGAGGGCATAATTTTAGTAATTATTGTTACTTAATTGTAACCAGTTAGGCTAAATGTATGTATATGCTAAATGCAAATTTTGTCCATCACATGTAAGACTGAAAATCAGAATGAATTGGTGGCTTGCATTTTGTTGACTGCTCTGTTGATTTGCCACTAGCTATTGCCTTTAACTGAGAAAGTTGTGAAACACATTATTTTTAAAAATAGATTGACAGAGACATTGATACCATTACATTTGAAAATAACATCCAGCAACTGAGCCCATCTGAAGAGGGGGAAGGAAAGGAAGTTTTTTCCACTGTTGGGGAAGCAAAGAGTCAGAGCTGCAAAGGTGGTGATGATTTGTCTGACTTATTCAATGGAAGTAAAGAGCAGGAATATCCAACTGCATCAGAACAAACAGTTGTAAGAAATCTCAAGAATCTAAAATTTGAGGCTTGTGCTCCACATCAGGATAAAGGTAAAAAATTAATAATCTTCATAATTAATTTCTAGATAAGGCATGTTAAGTAAGATTTTGAACTGAGGTTGAAGTTTTGCATTAAATACTTACAGTGGTAATTGTTTAGATTAGGTTAAGTCTTAACATTCTGTGGAAATTTGGAAGAAGAAATAATACCTTTAGCCCTAAGTGCTTGAAGATCTTGTTCAGGCTGATGTCATCTGCCTTGTGTTCAGGAGAGACATTTTGGATGGCATTTAGAAATTAATGGTCTTTTGAACAGTGTGTGGTATTTGAAGCCTTCAGGGAGATTTCAAAGTTAATATTGTATAAGTGCCTTTGAATAAACCTAGTAATTTATTTAGTGTCTTGATCCACTCATTCAGCTTCAAAATGTTCTTGTTTGAGGGTTTATGGTTGAGCTTAGAGTGGTTCCACATTGCCAGCTGAGGGTGGTGGGTACTTATCAGTCAATACCTGTCAGCAAAGCCTTTCCCAGAGCCTAAATAAGAGTAACAGAAAATGGCTGATTTAAGATGTTAGAAACCTAAAAGTATGTTACAGAAGTTAAAGTTTTGACTGACTCAAAAGAGAACAGATAAGCATCTGTTTCCCTAGAAACTGTGTGTGTGCTGTAAAAATTGGATGACATCAATGATGTTGAGTCTGTAAATGTGTGTGTTGTATCTGGAAGTTAAGGTATCTTGGCTGGGGGTCTCTATGGATACTGTACAAATTGTAAATGTCCCCTGTTTCAGTTACAGCCTTTATAGGAAGCCATTTGAGCAGTTTTAACAAAGCTAACAATGTTCCTTTGTGTGGGCATGAATCCACAATGAATAAATGACAATAAAGTGGTTTTGTTTGCTTTTACTGAAGCGAAGTGTTATCTGCACATCTCTGTGTGGTATAAAGCATTGTATAAAATGCATTTTGTCTCAGCATGAAAATCATTACAGAGAGCACACTTGGGAGCTGAGACAACTGTTCTGGAAAGACTCTTCAAATATGACGTATTTGCCATTTCACAGTTTCAAATCTTCTTCATAACTAAAAGTGTTGCACATTTAATCTTAACTTGTTACTCTCAAAAGAAATTCATTACTCTTGTGCCCCAAACTTTATTCTATTACTTCTCCAAAGAACTGACCTTTTCCCCTCAAATTCAACCAGTAATTTTAAAGAGGCTTTCACATCATGATTTTTTTATAGGCACTTTACAGATTCAGGAGCACCAGAAAGCTGGGAATAGCTTAACCTGCCATTTCCAAATCTTTGCATAAATTTACTTAGTGCTAATTACACAGTTGTTATCAAGAAGTTTGTTGCACAGGTTGTAAGTTATAAAGATGGTACTTAGAGAGGAAATCTTATCCTGTCTTGGTAGTGAGGGCTAGAGTAGGAGTTAGGTTTCCTGGGATTAGATTCTAAACTATCATTAACAATTAACACAATTTTGGCAGCAAATCACTTAAGTCTTAATGAATCCTTTGATGTAGAAGTTTGAAGTAGTTTTACCCAGACTAGAGGGACTCTTTAGAAATTGGTACCATTTTTAGAAAGAGTAAAGTCATTATTTTGTTGCATTTATAGTGTAAATGTGTCTTTGTTCCAACAGGAGAAAAAGAATTCAACTGTTTTTTCTGCCCATTCACCTCAGTCAAGCTGTCGAGTCTCAGGCGTCATTTGAAAATCCATTCGGATGAGAAACGTCACGTGTGTCACCTCTGCCCGAAGGCCTTCCGCACAGCAGCTCTGCTGCACAACCATGTGAACACACATACAGGTACCTAAGGCTTCAAAATACTTCATGTTACATACTGTCTTCAAAACTGACTTAGCAGGCAAGTGGCTTTGCCTTAGAGCTGTGTTCTGTGATCATTTTATGCTTGGAAATTCCTCTGATTTTTTGTGGTGTTCCGCACTGAAAAGACATGGTCTGTAGTTAGGAACTCTGTGTGTGTATATTTTGTTTTTTTTGTTAAGTACCATTCTAACAATTCGTGTCAGCTGAACAGTGACTTCAGCTGTGCTTCATTCCTGCATGCAGAATAGAATTTTCTGTGATGTTTTCATTTTGCTATATAAACATATGAAGCAAAGTGATAAATTGTGTTTATAATAAACTCACTGTGTACATATATATGGAAGAAATTCTCTGCTGGGAGAGTGGTGAGGCACTGGCACAGGTTGCCCAGAGAATCTGTGGCTGCCCCATCCCTGGCAGTGTCCAGGGCCAGGTTGACCAGGGCTTGGAGCAATCTGGGACAGTGGAAGGTGTCCCTGCCCATGGCAGGGGGTAGAACAAAATGAGCTTTAAGGTCCCTTCCAACCCAAATCATTCTATGATTTATTGTATGTAAAAAATCAGAATATCAGAAAAGGTTCTATTAAAAAATTCTGCGTGTTGATGTAAGGCAGACAAATCACATTGTTGTGGTGTTGAGTAAAAGTCTCACATGTATTGCTGCAGGGAACAAACCCCATAAATGCAGTGAGTGTGACACGGCCTTTGTGACTCGAGGGGAGCTTGCACGACACAGGAGGTACAAGCACACTTTGGAGAAGCCTTTCAAGTGCACAATATGTGAATACTCCAGTGTAGAAGTAAGTGAATCCTTACTGAATCTTTTGGGAGGGTATGAAGGTTTTCATGTGCCAGGATTTTAATGTACATACAGTTTTTGCCCAGATTTTTTAACCGTGAGAAGTCCAGGTTCTGCTGATGGCCTTGGACACACTGATGGATTGTGTTTATCTGTTATGGTGCTGCAGTGTTACTGCAAGGTGGCTGATGGCTACAGCTTTGTGGTGCCATGCATTTATTTCATTACATTTTATTTCATTGCAATGCATTCCATTACATTTCATTTGTGTGCATATCTTTTCATCGCCATCATCTTGTAAAAAAGGAACAAGCAACCTGAATTCCTGGAACCCTTATTTGTCCCTGTAGTATTTGCAAATGTGTTGGTCCAAATTAATATTCATACAATTATTTAGGGTTTTTCTAACTAGTTGCATTATAAGAGCTTTTTCTCTTTTGTTATGCTAAAATTGCTGCTAGACAATGTGTTTGTGTGATTTTGATCCTACAAAAGCATTTTTGGTCCTCATTTACACTGCATTCCATGTACTGTAGGACAATACCAGCTAATGTCTAAAAAGAAGTTCAGATATTTTGTTTATATGCTTGATGATGTATGAGTTTTTTCCAGGACTAGAATTTTCTTCATCAGGAATAAAGTACCTTAGAGTCTGCTTAAGGGTGCAGTTGGAAATTCCAATTGAATTGGGTGCACAGGCTTTTAGAAATGCACCTGTGATTGAATCACTACCACAGTTTAGTGGATGTTCAATATCTGAATTTGTGCTGTGTCCAGATCTAAAGCTGTAAGCAATCCTGAACTTTATTCCATGCACCTTATCTTAGTAATTAGATTTTTGATAGCTTGCATCCTTAAAAAGCCTGACAGCTGATATTAAATTACCCTGTTCTTTCCCTTGTTTCAATAAGGAGCATTCAGCACTCACTGCTGTTACAGAACTCACATTTGTGTAAGCTTTACCTGAATGAAGAAAACTGAAAGAGCTCTCCAGTACTGCCACACAAATTATTGGACTTTTGTGTATCAAAGGTTGCCCAGTCATGTTTAATTTTATTTAAGTGAATAGTAGTGTAGATTTGAAGGAATCTAGCAGTGAATTCATTAATTGTGTTCATAAATGGAAGAACTGAACATTTGATAACTCCTAGTCACATACCTACAATATTTATGTAGAACATATCAGAAAAACAGCATAATAAAAGTAGAATTGAATTAAACTTTGTAACTCAGGTGCTTCATTGGGACTTGAAGGTGAATAGACTCTGCATAATGAGTTTGGTCTTTCATTTATTTTCCTGAGTGTTTTCAAAGAATTTTATGTTTGGTATATCCAAGTAGCCTGACAGTAGTAGGTATCCTCTTTTTAAAATTTTATCTATTTTGTTTTTATTATAAAATTTCCCATTTTGCTAATGTGGACACTAAATAAGGAAGCAAGATAATATGGGGAAAAAATGCAGAAGTGTCCCAAAACCACAGCAGGCAGGTTGTGCAGGGAAAACCACAGATGCGAGAGTGCTAATTCTAGGATTAATACAATTAGAATTGTAAAATTGCTTACATTTTAATTAAATGTATCTCTAATGTAGATGTTACTTTAGAAAATCTCTTGTTTCTCTCTGAGGCCAGCAAGATGAGACGCCACGTTCGCTCGCACACCGGAGAGCGGCCCTACCCCTGTCACCTGTGCAGCTATGCCAGCAAAGATGCCTGCAAACTGAAAAGGCACATGTTAACTCACACAGGTAGCATTCTGGGCTAGTGATCAAGTCCAGGGCCTCAGCTCCTTAATATTCATAGGGTTAGAGCAATCTTATTTCGGCCTCGAAATTAACCCTTTTTTAATTTGTGATTTGGAGTAAAAACATGTTTTCTTTCAGTGTTCTGGATTTGGCAGATGGAAGCCCAGTAGTTCGTCCTGCTGTTCCTCCTAAACTTCTTTTATATTAGAGAAATATTTCATTTTCTGTGGGTCAGGTTGTCACTTTTATTTCTCAATTAGTTGATTTTACATGGAGATATATCTATGAAGATTTTTAACTCTCTTTTCAGAACATGCATATTGTTGTGACCCCAGATTGCCAGCAACTAATTTGGTCAACAAAGAATTAAATTGCTTTAATATTGGAAGCAGTGTGTTCTTGTCATAACTCTGTAACATGCAAGTCATCTCAGGGGCAGTGGGTATCAATCCTGTACTTCAGGGTTTAACTTGGCTCAATTATGATATGTAATTTGTGCTCTGATTAATGTTTTAGGTTGAATCAGAGTGTGACAGCATGGTTTGAATCAAATTTTCCAAATATTCCCACTTGTCACGCATTGGTTCGTATCTTGAGACAGTTTGGTGCAATTAAACTGAATTATTTTTTTATGAGAGTCCAACTGGAAGAGTTCGAGTGTTACCCATTCCTGGCAGGGACTTCTTCCACAGAACCAGACTGGAGTTGGTTCAAAGCTGTGCCACTTGCCAGTGTTGATGTAATTTTTAATGGTAGTAACAGCTGATGTGGCTTTTTGGGGAAGAAAGGTAAGAAAATAATTTCCTAATTCCCCTTCCCACCATTATCAATGGCTGATGGTGTGTCACTCTTATAATGATGTTTTACTGCTGTTCACTTTCTCTCCTTGCATATTTGAAGATAATTCTGCATTTTTGTAGATGAAGAATTCAAAGAAGAATAGATGATAATTTAAAATAATTCCTGATTCCTAGTTTAGAATTATATAAATGGCTTTATGCTTCAGCAGTTTGACTTGTGGACTCAGAAAGCCAAGATTTTGTGTTGCAATCAGTTATGTAAACTTCTGGAGACTTGTTTGGCCTTTTGTGCACTGTCAACTAATATTAACTTTTGGTTGATCCGGAGACTGTTGCTGTTAGAAAATGGATGTTGAATTCTGTGGGAATTTGAATTTATATTAAATAAGTAGAGTTTCTAAGCATATCTTATTTTAATTTCTTTTTAACAGGTGAAAAACGCTATGAATGTTACGTTTGCCAAGCCAGATTCACTCAGAGTGGTACCATGAAAATCCATGTGTTACAGAAACATGGAGAAAATGTGCCAAAACACCAATGTCCACATTGTAGTACTTTCCTTTCCCGAAAAAGTGACTTGGGTAAGTTTAAAGGAAAACACTGACAGCAAAATGTAGAGGTAAGTAGAGGTGAAATCTCTAATTTTCACAATATCTCACCAAATATGTTATAGCTGACTTCATATTATCACAGAATAGTTTAAGTAAAATGTATTTGTGGTTTTACAGGTAAATTCTTCCTGCAAGGAGATGTGGTGACATCTTGTGGTTGATATTTTAATTTGTTTAAAATGCAAAGTAGCAAATATTTAGCTTTTTCTGTTTTATTATTTGCTTGATACCTGTGGTACTGTGACCCTCTGTTTTTTCAGAAGAAGTGTTGGCAGCAATAGAGCTGACCAGTAACAAAAAAACCTATATAGAACTTTAAGTTTCCAGAAATACATGAAAATTCTGTGTTAAACCTGGATTTTTTAAAGTATTTGATTTGTTAAATGATTTCCACTGAAATCAGTAAGATTCAGGCTTATAACTGCTTGATTTCTTTGGGAAGTTACAACATCTTGCTGCATCTTTTGTTTAATCTTAAACTAATTTGTGTATTTTACCCCACTGCAGAGGGCATGGAAGGTTCTTTTTTGCTTTCCTCTACGAGATTTGCATTTCTCAGGGTTATACACAGCCCAGTTCTTGTTCAAAACTCTGAAAAAAAAAAACCCTTGCCATTAAAACGAGTTGTTTTGAATACCTGTCCAGGTGTCCACCTGAGGAATCTGCATTCCTACATGGAAGAGGCAGTGAAGTGCAGGGACTGTGAGGCAGCTTTCCACGAGCGCTACGCCTTCCTTCAGCACAGGAAGACTCACAGGAGAGAAAAAAGCTTCAGGTGTGCTCAGGTGTGCACATGTAACCAGGTATTCCAGTTCCTGGGAAAATACTGCTCACTCTGGTGCTGGTGTTGTGAGACACAGTTGGCTTTGGGGTTATAGGTACCTTAAGAAAATAAAAACTTTTGTGACTGCAGTCCAACTGAAATAGTGTAGTGGTGCTTATTTCCAGGGTAAATCTTTCACAAATTGAAATTGATATGCTGGAAGGATGAGTCTATCTTCTTGATAAATCTTTTGTATTGGACTGCTTAGAAATATAATGTAAGAGAAGTCACTTTTAGGGATGTTGTGATAAAGAACAAAATGCAGCATTTGAGCCTGAAATGTGATTTTCAGTGGTGATGCAGAATAAATTCAGTCTGAACTGAAAAATTTATTTTAAAGAGTACTTTTAGGACAGCTAGGACCCATTCAGCAAGGAAAGTAAGAAATTATTATTCACTTCAAAGCCATATGCAATGAGAACATATTCTCATTTTGGCTTAACTGTGCACACTTTAAAGTAAATGTGACCCTTTTTCCACATACAGATTTTACATGTGAAACTTTATTGCTTATCCAGGAACCAGCAAATGATAAATTTTATTTTGTACCCACCAAATGGCAATGTTCTTTTAAAGCAGTATTTTAATATATATTCTGGAAAATCTTCAGGAGTTTTATGGAAGTTGTCAACTAAGTCAGTCTTCCACTTAGTGTTCCAGAATTTGTCTGTCAGAGCCATATTTGCTTTGTGTCTGTTAAATTGCTTACATGGATTAATATTTGATTGATATATTTGTTCTTCATTATGCTAACAGAGTAATATGTGTAAGCGTGCTGAAAACTGTGGATTGGTGAAGGCAAAAACTGCTGCACCCAGAAAAGGAAGCAAAGGCAAAAATAAAATCCATGAGAACTCGAAGCATGCTAAGCCAGAAGGTAATCAGTGACTAAGTTAGGATTTAATCATGTAAATTAGAATCAAGACTAAAAGGCTAAGGCATTGAATCTTCCCTGCTGCTTAATTGCTGTTTCACAGTGAAGCTAATAATGGAAGAATATTTGAGAATAAGCTTTATTGTGTCAGAAATTCTTGTCATGTGAGTTGGGTCTCTGCACAGGTACCATCCTGGGCTGTTCCCTGCTCCAGTTCCTGAACCCCCTTTTTAGCACTGCTTTCAGATGATCTTTGTGGAGTAAGAGACAAGAATGGAGATACACCTTAGGCCTCGGTGTCCCTAAACCTCACCCTTTGTATCAGATTGTATCTGCACAGAGAGAAAATTTGATGTGGTGAGAAGAAAAAATGTTGGAGCTTTTCTGAATCTAATGAATATATATCAGCAGCTGAGTTTACATTAGCATTGACACTTCTGTTTTCACTGGTGAGGCTGTAATGGTATGGTTAGAGAGAAGTGTTACAGCTGCAGTGTTTATGTTTTTGTAGTAATTAGATTTTGCTGCTTATTAATGTTTTCCTGCATGCAAACAATTTCTTTTTGATATCTTGTAAATACCTTCATCTGAAAGCTTGTTTTTCTGGAGCTGTGATAATGTATCTTCAGATGTTGTTCATGCAAATATTCAGTTCATTAATTGACTCACACAAAACCTAGAAATTTCTGTGCTGGTCCAGAAGGTTTTCCCCAAAACTGACATTTGCAAGTATCTATAAATCACTGTCCACTTCTTGCACAACTTGAAGAGGCCTGTGGGATCCACAGTGTGGCTTTGCAGATGATGGCTTGTGAGTCTGGGGCTGTCAGTGATTTGCTGTTGCTAATAATTAAAAAAGGGTGCATATGATAATTAAGTTTCCAGTTTAAAAATGCTTAGTTTTCCTCTGATGAGAATACCAAACTCAGTAACATGGCTTGTAATGTAATATTCAACAGGAGATATATTCATTCCCCAAGTAAAGTGCTAGATAAAAGATGTGGCAGCATTTTCTCCACCAAATAAATTGCATACTTGTTAAATTTATTGAAATATTTACTTGTCTTTCTGATTAATCATCCCAATATTTAATTTTTTTTCTAAGTTGGCCTGACATTATTCCCAGGTGACTCTACTGCGAAAAATGAACGTTGTGCCAGTGAGATTGTTCCTGTTTCAGATGGGACAGAAACAGCAACTCCAAGGGAGCACAGAGCAGAAGCAACTCATTAAACGTATCCTCAACATGATGGACAAATAATGCACAGACAGACTGGTCTTCTTTGTCCTCAGGAGTTGTAACTGAGCAGTTCAAAGTGTGGAACTACCTCCACTTAGAAAGGTGGAAAAGATGCTGGTTGGAAGCTGTTGAAGCCCTTCTGTGCTCATGTTTCTCCTTGCTGGAGTTTCTCCTGTGTAACCTAAACACCATTGCAAAGTGTGAAAGTTAGAGGCAACTTTCACCTGGTTTATTACTTGCAGGTAATAACAGAATGGCAAAAATCAGCTAATTTCAGAGTTATTTATTAAAGAATAGATTGGTTTTTTCCCCTTACATTTGTTTTTTTCCAGCTTTACTTACAGAATTGCAAATCTGAGGCAAGTTTATCCCTCAGTATCACTGAGAGCTGCCTGAATTTCAGTGTTTGTAATTTGCTGAGGTGAGCAAATGAAAGGCAATGATTTTTTAGTACAAGGTACATTTACTAAATCTCCTTTCTGCAAACACTCTAGTTTCTAATCGAATTCATGATGCAATAGAATGAATGACACAATTTTGTGGAAAAGCACCATTTTTTATGCCTCATACTACTGGTAATTAGAAACTAATCTTTTGTCTGAGTTTTTCTCAGCTCAGTTAGCTGGGCAGACACAACTGCATGACAAAAATGAAGCAGGAACAGAGTGGCAGACAAATGTGGAGGACCCCCAAATTCTGGGGGTGTAAAACCTTCTGTGACCTTAAGCTGACTCTTTTTGAATGCAGGTGGGATCTAATGAATGCAGGTGGGTTTTCTTTAACCAGCCTTGCAAGTGTTCCCATGCAAATTTGTGATCCTCCATTTAGCACCAGATCCAAACCATACCCACGCTTTTGATTTTAATTAGATCTTCAATAAAGCACAACTGTGCTATTTAGGAAAGTTCATGTTTATAGTATACTTAAAAGTCAGAAAATAATTTAACTGTCAAATACGTTTCTGTAACTTTCCTTAGGTTATAAGAACTACTGGGTTTAACTCTTAATAATTTCTAGAGTCATTACAGTAAGTACTATTAATTGTTATGATTCATTACAATGATCACAATTGCCATTTATGCACTGTTCACACATTTTTTGTCATTTATAATTAATACTTGGAAGCCTCATAAAATCTTAAATACTTTTAAAATATTCATCTTTAATGCTGCTATTCTTATGTTACATTTCATTATAAATAAGTAGCAGCATAACTAACAAATATTAATAATATTAGGTCATGTAACAACTGAATTTAATTGAAATGCCAAACCCTCATCCCAATTTCAAGATTAATATCTGTATTTACCTTCATTATGGTGTGGAATTTGACCAGTATTAAATGGTTTGGGTTTGCAGGTTGGGCAGGCTGTGGTTGCAGGTCCTGCTGATGTGGTCAGGGACAGAGAATTCCTGTGCTGTGCACCCCACGTGAGCTGCAGGCTCACAGCAACTGCAACTTTTAACTTTTTTTACTTTGAAAAATGAAACAATGAAACTTTGTTTTTTCCATTTAGTTTATTAACATAGCATCTTTATCCTGTACTTGGTGACGTGTCTACATGCCTGTTCTAGGGGAACTTCTTTAATTCAGCTGCTGTTCTGTGGCCCAAAGCAGTGGCAGGAAGGAGCTCTGTGCCACGCAGCGTCCCCAGTATCTCTGTGCTCAGTGAGCAGATAAGGGAGGATGTTGGGATTAGCAGCAGATAATTGCCGTCTTAAATAAATAATCCCATTTACAGAGACCACACCAAAGGCCTCACCAAGACCTTCATCAATCATCTCAGTCAAACACATGAACAGGAATTACCACTTTGGTAACAGAAACCTCCTGCAGTTTTGTAGCAAGCTCTGAAAAGTCAGAGGGCTTGAATTCATTTAGATTCCTTTTTGATTCTGTCCCTCCATTACATTCAGTGTTTATAAAGTTTCATATTGATTGCTCTGTGTCTGTTTTCATGCTGGTAAAATTTCAGGAAGTTCATTTGTTCTTACAAGTGACAGGACTTAAGAATACTTTTATTCATTATGATTGCTTAAATAATATTGTTAACTTTATTCTTGTTGAGCTGTTTCCATTTGTGTTATAAATTTTAAGCAGCAGATTGCTTGGTTAAAATTAATTTTAGAAGTTGTTTAAATTCCTTGATCAATTTGCTGAATATATATTGTTCATTTGAATTGTTAATAACAAAGCTGACTCATTCTGTGCTGACATCTAAAAATCAGACTACATAGAGTGGAATGTGAATGTAGTAATAAAAGATATTTTTATCTCTGAACTTTCAAATTATTATTTCAGTAGTTAGAAGCTATGAATGTGTCATTTTGGAAATCAAGAAAGAATGCTTTGACCTCCTCAGGAGCCATTGCTAGTGGCCTTATGCTTTTTAACAGCAGTGATTGTTCTTCATGATTAAGAGTTTGCATAACTATGCAAATGCAAATATTTGCATCACTATTCTGATTTATATTTTACAAAGATAATTTAATTTCATTGTATTACTCACATATTTTAGACCAGTAGATATGTATTAATATCTTTTAAAGCAATACATATTCTGAACAGATGCCAAATTTAAAATATTTTAATTTACTAATTGTGGAGGAGTTGTTAAATACACAGGAATTATTCATGTCTGAAACAGATAATGCTGGAGTGTTCTGTAGCATTATGTAACAGTGTTCTGAGATAATTCAGTTATTTGGGAAAGAAGAGGAAACCTGCATTCCGAGTTTCCTCTGCAAGCTGCAATTGTCTATGCTTTAGATAGTTAATGTGTGAGGAAATACAGTTTTGCACAGACCCAGCTGATAAAATGCAGAGAAAGAGTAAAACCAGGCCTTTGGATACATTTTTTTTACTATTTAGGCTCTGTAATAAAACAGACTTGACACAGGAGTAGCTTCAATGATGCTAAAATGTGACGTGACCTGGCGGAAGTGATGTGTCAATTAGAATGAACTGCGTCCTGAAATTTGGAAGAATTGACCTCAGAAGAATCCTGAACAAAAGAAGAAGGAGCTGAGACTGGAAGTTGGCTCTGGTGTTCCTGCAGGAGCTCCTGCCAGAGTTCAGGGGCAGTGCTGGTCCAGGATCGGTCATTCCTGGCCATGGTCATTCCCAGCCATGGTCATTCCCAGTGCCGGTATCGGTCATTCCCGGTCCGGTATCGGTCATTCCCGGCCGTGGTCATTCCCGGTCCGATATCGGTCATTCCCGGCCATGGTCATTCCCAGTGCCGGTATCGGTCATTCCCGGTCCGGTATCGGTCATTCCCGGCCGTGGTCATTCCCGGCGCTGCCCGCAGGTGGCAGCACGGGGCCGCCTGGGAGCCGCTCCGACGTGCTGGAATTGCTGCCTCAGTTTCCCCCGGCCCGTCCCTCCATCCCTTTGGCCGCGTCCAGGCGATACGAAAAGAGCTCTCTGTCCCTTAGCAGGTTCCGAACTCCTGATGTCGCTACCAAGTGGTGTCACCCCATCCAGGAGAGAGGATGGGGAGAGCGCTGCTGCCTTGTCTTGTGCTGAAGCCCAGCTGCGATGGGCTGGGGCTGCCTTGTTGTGCCTGGAACGGGAATTTTCTCCCGGTGGGACTGACAGAGGCTCAGCTGGTCCCTGCACGTTCATGGACTGTGACAGCTCTTCAGCCCTGCTCGTGCCTTCACTGTGTTTGTGTTTCCCTTTGGCTGAGCTGGCTCCATGGAAGGTCAGGTCAGTGGCACCAGTGCAAGGCAGGTGCAGGGAGCCTGCACTAGGACGTGTCAATATATTTCCTGTTGCTGATAAATCTTTTTAACATACCAAGAAAGTTACTGTTTGTTGATAATTTAAGCAGTTTATCTAAGAAGTCTTTACTTAAAGAGATGTTAGGGCTTTTAACAAGCAGCACATTTGTTAGGTGAATTTTCAAAAGTCCTTTAAGGCGAGGTGAAGTGGGCACAGGCCATGAGGAGTGACCTGGCCCTTTGATAAAGGAGGAGCTTGTCAAGTCCAGTGGATTTCTGTTGTAAGTTCTCCAAGGTAAGTGTTGACACAAAAATGCGGAAATGGGGCACAGTCAGCATCACCACAAGGACTGGGACTTCTCATGCTGTGATGCAACATTTTATCATGAAATGGTCTTTACTCACTGTCTAAGCATTATTCTTGTACACTATACAAGGAAATGATGGATTTCCAGCTGATTTCCATTTTTGTGACTGTTCCAAGAAATTTTCTTGAATTGTCATCTTAACGTTCCTGCCATCCTCTCCTTTGTATCCAAACTAGTCTCTTTACTGTCTTTCAAATCTTTTTGCTGACTGCTGAGTCTGGATCAGGGAAACATGTCTGCTGTCTGTCGGCACATTCCTGGAGATCTTTGCCATGATTACTTTTCTGTTAGTTACACGAATTTGGTTATTTAACAATCTCACAACTATACTGCAAAGATAACTGACAAAAAAATTAACAGATGGGAGTGTAATTGTTGTTGTGAGGAAGCCTCTCTGTCTCTCAGCCATAGCTGTGTTGTCTCCATTGTACAGATGAGAGAGATGACACACAGAACAAAATGAATCTCTGATTTAATCCTCTTGCTTTCAGGAGCAATGAAACCCACAGTGTGCTCTGCTTATTACTACTTCAATCTCACTGAACCAGAAATAGAAACCTGGGGTGCTGCAGCATGTGATGATTAAGTTACATTAGCAGAAGGTGGTGAGCAAATAGGCAAGGACCTGCAGACAAAGCTAGTGCTGTTAATCACTTCCAGAGATATTAAAATCAGAATATTAAAGCTGAAATAACATTTATAACTTCTTAAAGGTCAGTGCTTAGGCTGATAGGAAGGCACTGTGGCAGCATGACTAACAGCCATGGGCACGAGTGGTGTGCAGCATCCTGGACGAGCAATCTGGTGGTAATTGGAAGGTCCAAAAAGAAGACACAGACTCTGTCATCTCAAGGCCTTTCTAAAGTAGGAAGAGTGAAATTAAGAACATTTTCCTTTGATACAAACCTTGGAGGCCCCTTTTGCTGTGTTTCTCCCTGAATGCAAGCTCTCTCCTAATGGGTGACTGAATTATGGCTGACAGGTTGTGTATGGCTCTAGCAGTAACTTCCACTCAGTTTAAAACCTCGGGTTTGTTTTGCTTAAGAAACTGGATGTGCATTTGAAAGCAATTTGCATTAATAAAGTATGTCTTCAGGCAAACATCATTCCCTGTTTTAAACAGCTTTTAAACTTTTAAACAGCCCAGCTATTGTTTGAAGTCAGTCGCAGAAACAGCTGGGCTCTGTCTGGCGTTAGGGGTGTGAGCATTACAAAATGGGAAAGCATTTTTGGACAGTTTTGGTTCAATCTGTTTTCACTTTGAATTGGCACTTGACAATGAAGAATTTCATTTCTATCTCCTTTGGTAGCTGACTGTTTGAGTTGCCTCTCTAAATTATTTTTAGCTTTTGGAGTTGTTTTTTCCCTCAAAATTGAACTATTATTGGTTCTATCCCTGCTCTGTCCACATAACAACATTTGCAGCTAATGAGAGGAATGCAAAGGAGTGACACTGCTGATTGCTTTGATAAGAAAGAGACTTGCCTTTATTACCAACTAATTGAATGGTAGGTAGCAGCTAATGGTGATTATAATTAAGCCTGGAACTGACATCCTTTTTCTGGAAGAGCTGTAAGCTGAGGGAACTAAGCTGAAGTCCCTTTATGGCAGAGGTGATTTTTTGTTCTGTTACAGGAGC